GGAGGATTGCAGGGCACCCCGAAGGTCATCTAGTCCAGCCCGCCCGCCCCCTCCCCCGGAGGCAGGGAAGCCCATGGTTCTCGCAAAGAGTTTGGTTTGGACTTCGAAGACTGACCCCCTGATTTTAACATCAGGGTTTTTTTTGGGGGGGTCTTTTTCAGCCCCAAGTGGGGTGACATCCCTCGAGGCTTTCGCTCAGGAAATAGGCTTCCAAGAAAAAGCTGTTTAGTAATTTATTTATTTATTTATTTTTGTTTTGCTGCTACCGAAGGATGCTGAATCACGCCTGTCACGTAGCAACAACGGTCATAGCAGAGAAAGCTAAATTATAGGTTGCTTTCCCTTTCCTGAGTTTTAGTGAGGCTAGTGGGCGAGGCAGCTTTGTTAGCATCTTGGCACGATCATCATCATCATCATCACAACGACAGCAGTAATAATAAATCTTAGATCGGCAGAGCCAGAAGGGACCCTATGGAGCATCGAATCCAGCCCCGTCCAGCTTCGTGCAAGAAAGCCCCGTTCAGCTGCAGAAAAACATGAAGGGTCGGGTAGAGACCAAGCCATCAGAAACGAGAATTTCCCACATAAATCCTGGACGGGTTTGTTTCCTTCTGTGCAATAGCTTTGGAGTTGGATCAGCCAACTCGAGAAATGAAAATTGCACATTTCAGGAACATTTCTCCCTTCTGGATCCAACCCAACCATTTCTTCTTTCAGCTCACCTGGCCAATTCCTGGGGAGTCGGTGGCCTCCCCCCAAGCAGGTTGGCCCCTTACTACACATCCCTCCAAAGGAAAGCATTGACTGGGCTAAAATTACGGAGGCTACGATGTATATACAGATGCAAATTTAGAAATGATTTTTTGGAGTTTAAGGAGAATTGGACTGGCTCCCTCTTGACTGAGGAAGACAGTGACCTTGGGTTCTTGGTGCCGAGTCCACTGTCTAGGCACAGCTGTCGAATAACTTCCAGGTCTCCTTAATCATCTTTCATCAGATTTGTTTTCAGAGGCTTTCACGGCCGGGATCCGAGGGTAGTTGTAGGTTTTTCGGTCTGTTTGGCCGTGTTCTGGAGGTTTTTCTTCCTAACGTTTCGACAGTCTCTGTGGCCGGCATCTTCAGAGAACAGGAGCTAAGACTCTGTATTCTGCTGGAGTCTGTGGGATAGTTGAAGCTGTGCTGGTGTTTGTGGATTTCAGGGGCTTCCCTGTGTAGTCTAACATAATGATTGCTGGTGTTGTCCAGTACTTCTGTCTTTTGAAATAGGATTTTATGTTCAGCTTGTCCAGACTCCCAGCAGTGAAAAATACAGCCTGCAAAAAGATCAATGAACTCTACCCAGCCACAAGGATAGGTGATCACTGTACACAAAAGTCTAGCTAATGACACCCATTAATCACAGGGACAGATGATCTCCCCCCTTATCACAACAAAACACCCATAACAAAAAACACCCTGATCGCAGGAAACACCCAGTCTCCTGAAAAGAACAAAAACTCTCACCCCGCAGCTACAAATACAGTACTCAACAATCCCACACACTACACCAGAACACAGAGAGAGTTCTAACTCCTGTCCTCTGAAGATGTTGGCCGCAGAGACTGGCGAAACACGGCCAAACAGTCCAAAAAACCGACAACAACCATTTCATCAGATTCTTTCTCTTTAACTCAGGAGTGGACTTTTATCACTCCTGAGGTGGAGGGTGCTTTGAAAAGGAGGATTCTTCTCTGTCATATTTTTATATCCAGGGTTGTTCTGAAGGAAGGAACAGGCGACTCACCCTATTTGCAAGGCATTGTTGTCGTTTAGTCGTGTCCGAGTCTTTGTGACCCCATGAACCAGAGCATACCAGGCCCTCCTGTCTTCCACTGCTTCCCGGCGTTGTGTCAAATTCATGTTGGTTGCTTCGATGACATTGTCCAGCCATCTTGTCCTCTGTCCTCCCCTTCTCCTCTTGCCTTCACACTTTCCAAACATCAGGGTCTTTTCCAGGGAGTCTTCTCTTCTCATGAGATGGCCAGAGG